AACGCAGAGCGCAGGACCATATATTCCCTTACTGCGTACTGAGAGGCAGTAAGTTAAGGTTTGAAGTGAAGGGTCAGCTTTTCGAATAGAATCCGACCCACTGTCCGTTTTGACCTTCTTGAGTTACATGAGCAGGTGGCTAAGCTCCTTAGAGGGGGTCATACAAAAAGATTATATAGGGGACTGCTATAGGGGTCATTAACACGAATACTAGGAATTAAGGCTACAGCTCATATGGTGGACGCCCTTGCAGACTACTGTAGGGCCTAAAGAATTACCAATATTATGATTCTGGATTCCTTGTAGACTTATGGTATAGGGTACCTCAAATAGACCTTAAAGGATATTGGCAATTATTTTGGGCTAGTACATTACCATACGTTACCCATAGTCATATTGCGAGAAGGATTGCAGTTCTGAATGCCGCCAATTCTGCTGCTGATGCTGCTGCCGGCCTCCTCCAAGTTTATCAGAAAGGGTTTAGGGTTTAGGGGTTTAGGGTTTATCAGAAATTATGGGCCCTTGTTGCAGCTTTTATGTTCGGGGGTCTGCTGTCATCGAGAGCATATTGGAGGACCTTAATCCGGAAACTCGAGACCCCAAAGCTAAATCACGATTCCTTAAGCCTTAAATCCTAATTCCTAACCCTAGAAGCTAGATTCCAAACCCCAAGTTCCAAAAGCTATAGTCCCCCTCAAGTAGGTAGAATAAGGCTTTGGGTATATTATAATAAGACCCCCATATACCCCATATTCTATCTATTCAAGGGGGACTATATCCCTACACCCAATAGCCGTGAATTTTTTATGAGGCCGCGGAGGGGTGTGGAAGGATTTGCGTGGAGAAACGCAAAGGAAATGCGCGAAAAGCCGACAAGTCAAACAAGTCTTTGGCAAGCCAATTGGTGATATACCCAAATCCCATTGACAGGCAACACCTGGGGTCACATTAGCTCTGTGTCCGGCGCTCAGATGTTCTTTTTGCTTGTCCTCCAGTGAACCCAATGCATAGTCTTGTAGAATCTCGAAGAACAGGTATGAGCTATAGTCTAAACTCCTTAAAGGGGTTATATAGGGGATTTTATAGGGGACTACTATAGGGGTCATCAAGGGAGATACTAGGATTCTTGACTGGCTCATATGATTGCCTGATAATCCTAATATAATACTAGTTAGTACAATGCATTCCCCGAACCCTATGCTAGTCAAATAGGCCCTGGATATGGTATTTTGACTGAGCTCGGAGGGGATGCCCTTCACATAAGCTTAAAGAAGCGCAGCATGTATGCCTGAGGGCTTAAATGGGAGTTGCTCCTCATACTTTGGCAGTCCTGAGTAGGTTGTCTAGAATATCCCCGTCATGTATTAAGAGATATGTAGGCCCATGACTACTAGCACTAGTACCTTTTTCTGTCAAACACTGAGCATTCGCATCAGAGCATTGCAAATTGCGAGCCATGGCTTTCAGCCGTCCTCGTGGTACTATTGAAACAGGAGTTTGGAAAGACTAATCTGGGTTGCTGTTAAGGAACTTAATTTAAGTTACTATATTGGGGGAAACACTATTTTACTATGATATACCCATTATGGTAACTTAATTTAAGTTCCTTAACAGCACCCCAGTAATTCCAGCAATTGCGGATTCTTTATGACCAGGTCAGATCCCAGCGTGCTGCCGGTGTCAGACAGCGCCACTTGGAAGTGTGTGATCTACTGTTGATGGATGAAATCTTGCAGCACCTAGGGGCCCTAAACCATTGTAAGCCCTAGGACTTTGGGGACTTAAGGTGGTGCAAGATTACCTCTATCAACAGTATGTCTTCAGGTCAAGGATCATGTGAATTGAGGCCTATTGATGCAGTCGTTTCAACTTCACCATGCAGAGCATGGAAATGTGCTTGGGGTTCATGCAACAGTAGGATTGTCCCTTCACAGACGCCCGCCCGATGGAGTTGCATTCTTTTGGCACGTGTCTGCATGACAGTAGACATGCAGAATTATCGCTTTACAAATAACAGTTTCCATACGTGGCGGGAGCCACTTACATAGCCCAATATGCGATAGCCCTTATTCTGAAAAGTACACCTAAACAGGGGACCCTGAATTTGGCAAAATATAGAGACTCCTTGTAGAAACATCCGGGGTTGCTGGCAAGAAGACGCTAAGCCCTAGACAATGATCCCAAAACCAAAGCCGTCAACCCTTCTACACTCTATAAGGCCTTTACTCTTGACGAAGCTTTATAAACCGTTGGCGCTAAATCCCAGGTGAATAGCAGTTCAAACAGCTTTGCTAGAGTCCCCAAATGGAGTAATACGTCCTCCTTTTCCTTGCGCAGTTTGTAAGAGGAATAAACGTTTACTTGCTTCCAATCCAACATGAAACAAAGCCTAAACCTTAAACCCCAAGCCTTAGACCCCAAATCCTAAACCCTAAACCCAAAAAACCTTAAACCCTAGACCCAAAAAACCCTAAACCCTAAACCCCAAAAACCCTAAACCCTCAACCTTAAAAACCCTAAACCCTAAACCCTCAGGTGGAAGATGAGGATCTGACAGAGCTGGACACTTTTGGTGGAGTACTCCGAAGCAGCATCGACGATCCCGTCCAAGCCTTCCTGAAGGTGCACTGGTTGATTCTGCTCATGGGAGTACATAGGAACATATATATAGACATATATATATATACATACATGGTTTAGGGTCCCTGGATTACGTTTTAGGGATACATAAATATATGGATACAAGGGTATATATAGGGATAATGAAGAAGCAAAGGAACTTCTAGGGATGATTACCACTTCCCTGGTTTCCTTGAATAGGGTTTAGGGTTTAGGGTTAGGGTTAGGGTTTAGGGTACCTCAACTAGACCTCAACATGATTTTGGCAACTATTCAGGCATCTGTAGTAGCTAGTAGGGAAATGGACAAGTAAATGGAACTTGCGGTCTACTTATGCAGGTCTTAGGGAAATCAAAAAGAACATGGGACCTGCCATCTTAGGTAGGTTTAGGGGAGATCGAAAAGGAAACGGGCTGGCTATCTTACGCAGGGTTGCAAGATTCAGGACAGCGGAGAAGAAACAATCCGACCTGCTATTCTATGTAGGCTTAGGGAAACAGAAAAGAAATGGGATCTGCTACCTCTAAACCCCCAACCCTAAACCCTAGGGCTTAGAGTTTAGGGTAGGCGTAGGAGTAGCCCTTATACGAACACCGACAATGGTCCTGATGTTCCATCCCTTCATCCCGTGCGGCGGAACCTTGTCATGCATCGCGCTGAAGAGCTCTTTCCCCGACAAAACATTAGGATCCTGTTCATGCTGTGGAGGTACCACCTCACGTACCCAAAGCCCTGGGACTCATATGTAAAATTGGGAATCCTAAGTTGTGCAAGCCTTCACCTTAGACATACCTAGCAAAGGGGTCTTTAGGGCGAGTGTGGACAGCGCCTTTGTCCTGCGACTGCGGGTGCTTCCTGGTACATAAAGCAGCCGGGGGTTGGATTCGTATTAAGATTATCCTATCTATACTCCCCCTTAAGTAGATAGAATATGTCCTGGGGTACATTAGAATGAGATGCCCATATACCCCATATCCCATATTCTATCTTCTTCAGGGGGATTATAATCCTCATAAAATGAGAGAACGAAATATCCTTCCTAGCTTCCCCGACAGCGCCGATTCGATTATCATGGGTTTCCCCACTACCCTACCCTAGGTTCCCCCTAAACCCTACACCCCAAACCCGAAAGCCTAAACCCCAAACCCTAAACCTTCAATTAGGTGCGTGGCAGCGCTGAGGATCCGGAGCTCATGCCGTCGTAGTTGGCCTCAATTGAGATGGTGTTTGGGGTTTATAGGGTTTGGGGTATAGAGTTTAGGGTACAGGGTTTAGGGTTTAGGATCCAGGGTCTAGGGTCTATAGGGTCTAGGGGTCTGGAATTCAGGACTGAGGGTTTTGGGTTTGGGCTTGGGGATTTAGGGTTGAGGGTTTGGAGCTTGGGATTGCGGATTATGGTTCGGCATGTAGTGTTTAGGTTTGGGTTCTAGGATTTCTTTTTTGGGATTTAGGGTTTGGCTTAATTAGGTTTTAAGATCTAGGATTTCAGGTTTGCAGCTCGGGATTTAAGATGGAGGGTTCAGGCTTAGGGTTTCAGCATTCAGGTTGTGGGGAGTTGGATTTGTGGTTCAGGTTTTGAGATTTAGGGCTCAGAGTTCCGGGTGTAGGATTTTAAGTTTTGGTTGAGGCTTGGGGAGATTAGGGGTTTAGGAGTTGTGGTCCCTTTTTAAGGGCCCTCAAACTGCAGGATACCGAAATACATGAGGTGTGGTATCAACCCTACTCCATATTCTTTTGGCAGCCCACACCCACACCTGTCCAATTCAGGATCATAGCTAAGGATACAATCCCCTTCCT